TGTGTGTGTGCATGTGTGTGTGTGTGTGTGCGCGCGCGCGCGGGTGTGTGTGTGTGTGTGTGTGTGTGTGTGTGTGTGTGTGTGTGTGTGTGTGTGTGTGTGTGTGTGTGTGTGTGTGTGTGTGTGTGTGTGTGTGATACAGCCTTCCCTTTTTTCCACTACCACTCTTAGCGTCGCACTTGCTTCTCCCCTCTTGTCTCTGCCCTTCTCCTCCACGATCTAGACCTTCCAGGCTTCCACACCCTCTCACCACCACTACCATACCCCCACCCCTTCTTCCCCTCTCGACCCTCCATTCCCTTCGTCTCCCATCAGTAACCACCTTCCCCAACGGCACTTCTCTCCTCACTCTCTCCAGCCCGCTCGCCTACTCCCACTTCGGGGACCCCCTGGGCGTACCCGACGGGTTCGGGGGCTACATAGACGAGCGGGCAGAGGTGGCGCTACTATCACGCACCGTTACAATCACATCTGTCCCAGAAAGCAGCCCTTATGACCGAGAGGGCGGCCACGTGTCGGTGTATTTCACACAGAGGGCGCAAGCAGTGGAGGGGGTGGAGTTCAGTGGGTTGGGGCAGGAGGGGCAGGAGGGGCGGTTCCCTCTGCATTATTTTTTCCATGGGGATCAGGGCGGGGCGACGAGTGGGGGTGGGGGAGAGGGAGGGGAGGAGAGTGTTTGTCGGAAGAACTCGTTTCACCACACGAATAATGTGAGTGGAAGTGGTGGCAGTGGGATGGGATGTGATGTGATGCGATGCGATGCTGGGGATGATTGGAATGTTGGCTGGGTCACGTGTAATTGTCACCTTACCACTCATATATGTAATCCCCCCCTTACCGTCGTTTTTACTTCCCATTCCCCCACCTCTCCCCTTCGTCCTCAAGCGCCGAGGCGTGCTTCCTCTCCCTCCCTGCACTTGACTACCCTCTCTCCTTCCCTTCCTTACCGCCCTGCCCCATCTCCCCCACCCTCCTTCCCCGGTCACTCCCCTCCCCTATCTCCTCCCCCGTCTCTCTCCTCCATGACCCCCCCACCCCCTCCTCGCGACGCTGCCTGGTGCTGACAGCGCCGAGTCGCATGTGGGTGGAGGGCAACGTGGCGTACGGCACGAGCGGGCACTGCTTCACGCTTCTCCTCCCTCCCTGCACTCCACATCCCTCTCTCCTTCCCCTCCTTATCACCCTTCCCCATCTCCCCCACCCTCCTTCCCCGGTCTCCCCCTCCCCATTCCCTTCCCCCGCATCCCTCCCCCCGCCTGCCCCCCTCCCCCCCACCGTGCAGCGCTGCCTGGTGCTGACAGCGGCGAGCGGCATGTGGGTGGAGGGCAACGTGGCATACAACACTCTCGGGCACTGCTTCATGCTCTCATTCCAACAACCACCCTCCTCGTCCTCTCTCTCCCTGCACTCCACATCCCTCTCTCTCCCCACACCACGTTTCCCCGTCTCCCCCACCCTCTTTCCCGGTCTCCCCCTCGAGTCCCAATTACCTCCTTCGTCCTATCCCCTCCTTCCCCCCCGTCCCTCCCCCACGCGCCCCCACACAGCGTTGTCTGGTGCTGACAGCAGCGAGCGGCATGTGGGTGGAGGGCAACGTGGCGTACAACACGCTCGGGCACTGCTTCATGCTCTCCTCCCAACAACCACCCTCCGCTTTCTCTCCCTCCCTGCACTCCTCCCCATCTCTCTCGCTTCTCCAAATTCCTCCCTCCCCTCCTCACTACCCTACCCCATCACCCCCACCCTCCTTCCCATCTGTCTCCCCCACTCCCCCAATCCGCCCGTCCACACATCTATGCAGCGCTGTCTGGTGCTGACAGCGGCGAGCGGCATGTGGGTGGAGGGCAACGTGGCGTACAACACGCTCGGGCACTGCTTCATGCTCTCCTCGGGCGCCGAGACGCGCAACACACTCGCCAACAACCTTGGATTCCTCACCCGCCGCGGTAAGCTGCTTGGGTGGGGATGCATGGGGGTTGCATGGGGTTGCATTGGGGGGGTGCATGGGGAGGTGCATGGGGGGCGGATGGGTGGTGGGTCGGGGTGCCATGGGTGGGTAGTGAATGCGTGGATGAGTTGCAGAGATGGGGTGGGAGCAGAGTACATGTTCCACATCCTCTTCCCCCCCCTCCCTTCCCTTCCCTTCCCCCTCCAATCAACCGCCTTCACCTGCATCATCCCTTTTCTCAACTCCTCCGTCATCCCCACCCCCTCCTATGTTTCATCCCCGTCCTTGATCCCCCCCCACCAGTGGGCAGGCAGGGATGTGTCGGGCATGAGGGACACGAGCAGACCCGCCACGTTCCTGCATCTCCCCCCTCTCACATCACTCAACCATCCCCACCCATCCTTCACCCTCATCCTCACCCTCCCCCTCCCACCAGCGGGCAGGGATGTGTCGGGCATGAGGGACACGAGCAGACCCGCCACGTTCCTGCTCGCCAACCCCGACAACGACTTCATCAACAACACTGCTGCCGGCTCCTACTCCGCCGGGTGAGGTTCCCGTGTTGCTCTTGCTCTCCGCGTTGCTCCACTGCACGGTCACTAGACTGGGACATGGTGGGACAAGGGCATGTCAGAGCTCCATAGGGACAATTACAAGGGCAAGGGCAAGGGCAAGGGCAAGGGCAAGGGCAAGGGCAAGGGCAAGGGCACTGGTTCCCGTTCACAGCCACTTGTTTGCATGGCCAGTGACCCGTTGCATGGAACGGGCGCTGGGTTGGTTTTTGAGGCACCTCGAAAATTGCGTGGAAGGGGCGCTGGGTCGGAAGTTTCTGGGGAGAGGGGGTGAGAGAGGGTGAGAGCGGAAGAGAGAGGGAGAGGACCAGCTTGAGGACAAGCGGGGCGTGCTGGGGAATGCAAGAGGCTAGGGTAGCTGCATGGCAGGGCGGATCAATTTTGGGGCGCCTCTAATGGGGATGTGATTGTGGGAGGGAGCATCTGAACCGAAGCCTGAAAAATGCAGCGCGAGCGAGAGTGTGCAGCGAGGGAGCACGGCCAGAGTTCCAGAAATAATCACCCTCGCCCCGCTCTCTCCCGTCCTCCCCTTCCCCTCTCTCCCTCATCTTTTCCACCCCCCAGGGTGTGGTACTACCTGCGGTGGGGCGTGTCAGGGCTGGCAGGGACCATCCCCGGGTACAACAACCTGCTGCCATTCTTCACGCCCTGGGGGACCGTCTCCGGCTGCACCTTCCACTCCAACGGCTACTGGGGCCTGCAGACCTACCCCATGGGCGCCTACCCGCGCCAGGGTGCCTTTCGCAACTTCTCCCAGCAGAATCCCGTGAGTTACTGTGACTTCTGGGCTGGCAGGTGGTCTCTGGGGGGTGTGTATTGAGTTGAGCCCACTCCAACGGCTACTGGGGCCTGCGGTCCTACCCCATGGGCGCTTACCCGCGTCAGGGGGCGTTCCGTAACTTCTCACAACACAACCCCGTGAGTGCTGGCACGGCGGCTACGCTGAGGGGTGTGTGTTTGGGTTGACTTATATTAAAGCACCTCTGGGGCCTGCAGTGCAGACCTGCCCCAAGGGCGCCTACCCGCGACAAGGGACCTTTCGGAACTTCTCCCAGCAGAACCCCGTGAGTGGTGGCAGCTGGGGGCACGGAGAGTGTGGAGAGTGTGGAGAGTGTGGAGAGTGTGGAGAGTGTGGAGAGTGTGGAGAGTGTGGAGAGTGTGGAGAGTGTGGAGAGTGTGGAGAGTGTGGAGAGTGTGGAGAGTGTGGAGAGTGTGGAGAGTGTGGAGAGTGTGGAGAGTGTGGAGAGTGTGGAGAGTGTGGAGAGTGTGGAGAGTGTGGAGAGTGTGGAGAGTGTGGAGAGTGTGGAGAGTGTGGAGAGTGTGGAGAGTGTGGAGAGTGTGGAGAGTGTGGAGAGTGTGGAGAGTGTGGAGAGTGTGGAGAGTGTGGAGAGTGTGGAGAGTGTGGAGAGTGTGGAGAGTGTGGAGAGTGTGGAGAGTGTGGAGAGTGTGGAGAGTGTGGAGAGTGTGGAGAGTGTGGAGAGTGTGGAGAGTGTGGAGAGTGTGGAGAGTGTGGAGAGTGTGGAGAGTGTGGAGAGTGTGGAGAGTGTGGAGAGTGTGGAGAGTGTGGAGAGTGTGGAGAGTGTGGAGAGTGTGGAGAGTGTGGAGAGTGTGGAGAGTGTGGAGAGTGTGGAGAGTGTGGAGAGTGTGGAGAGTGTGGAGAGTGTGGAGAGTGTGGAGAGTGTGGAGAGTGTGGAGAGTGTGGAGAGTGTGGAGAGTGTGGAGAGTGTGGAGAGTGTGGAGAGTGTGGAGAGTGTGGAGAGTGTGGAGAGTGTGGAGAGTGTGGAGAGTGTGGAGAGTGTGGAGAGTGTGGAGAGTGTGGAGAGTGTGGAGAGTGTGGAGAGTGTGGAGAGTGTGGAGAGTGTGGAGAGTGTGGAGAGTGTGGAGAGTGTGGAGAGTGTGGAGAGTGTGGAGAGTGTGGAGAGTGTGGAGAGTGTGGAGAGTGTGGAGAGTGTGGAGAGTGTGGAGAGTGTGGAGAGTGTGGAGAGTGTGGAGAGTGTGGAGAGTGCGGAGAGTGTGGAGAGTGCGGGCTTTTCGAGTGTGTAGCGTGCCGAGCAGAGTGCTCGTTGACTCTAATGCTAGTCATTCTGGCACCCGTTAAAAACCCTCGGAAGTGCTCGCTCACAGCACTGCTTCCGTTTGCCTCGTTTCGTCGTTCCACAAGCACACCGTCGTCGCCCACCACGTATGTCTTTCAGCCTGTATGCTCCATCCTTCCCCTCCCCCAAAACACCACTCTTCATCCACAACCACTGCCATCCCCACGAGCAGTACAGCGTGCAATGGCTCAAGCCCATCCAACGAGTGCTCTTCTCTCGCCTCACCTTCTACAAGCACCAAGGCAGCGCGTAAGCCCTCCTCCACTACCCCTCCTCTCCTCTCCCCTCCTCTCCTCTCCTCTCCTCTCCTCTCCTCTCCTCTCCTCGCCTCTCCTCTCCTCACCTCGCATCGCCTCACCTTCTACAAGCACCAAGGCTGCTCGTAAGCCCTCCTCCACTACCCCTCCTCTCCTCTCCCCTCCTCTCCTCTCCTCTCCTCTCCTCTCCTCTCCTCTCCTCTCCTCTCCTCGCCTCTCCTCTCCTCACCTCGCATCGCCTCACCTTCTACAAGCACCAAGGCAGCGCGTAAGCCCTCCTCCACTACCCCTCCTCTCCTCTCCCCTCCTCTCCTCTCCTCTCCTCTCCTCTCCTCTCCTCTCCTCTCCTCGCCTCTCCTCTCCTCACCTCGCATCGCCTCACCTTCTACAAGCACCAAGGCAGCGCGTAAGCAAACACTACCCTGCCTCGCCTCTCCTCTCGTCTCTCTTCTCTTATATCCTACAATCTCCTCCTCCTCCTCCTCCTCCTCCTCCTCCTCCTCCTCCTCCTCCTCCTCCTCCTCCTCCTCCTCCTCCTCCTCCTCCTCCTCCTCCTCCTCCTCCTCCTCTTCTTCCCCCTCCCCCTCCCATGCTCTCCCCTCCCTCCGTCACCTCTACCTTGCACCCCTCACAAAGTTGTTCTGCTCGCCCTCAGTACCTTCTTTGTCTGGACCACCAATCACCTGGGTCCTCATCCACATGGAAAGACGCGGACAGGGAGGGAGGGAAAGACACCTTCCTTCCCTCCCTGTCCGCGTCTTTCGCCTCTCTTCCCACCTCACAACCCTCTCTTTTACTTCGTCCGACCTCCCCACCCGCCCCCCCCCTGCTTCCCCTGCTTCCCCACCCCCCACCCTCCCCATTCACCCCCCCAGCACGCTCATGGACACGTTTGACGCGTCCACAATGCACGACTCTGTGTCCCTTGTTAAACCCAAGTCATCTCGAAACCCCTACCTGCCCCCTTCTTCCCTCCCTCTCCTTCCCCCCCCTCCTTCCCCCCCCTCCCCCCCACCACCAGCATGCTGATGGACACGTTTGACGCGTTCACGATGCAGGACTCAGTCTTCATTGCTTTCATGCCCCTCAAATGTTATCCTTTGAGCCGCCTCAAAACCCCCGCCCCCTTCCCCCCTCTCTCCCTCGCGGCTTGCCCCTCCCTCCTCCCTCCCCATTCCTCCTCCCTCCTTGTTCGCCCCCCCTTCCCCCCCCCCCCCCCTTCTCTCCCCAGCACGCTGATGGATACCTTTGACGCGTTCACGACGCAGCACACTCCCTTAAAACACCCCCTCCTTCCCCCCCATTCCCGTCCCTTCCCTTCCTCCCTCCCACCCCACCACCAGCACGCTCATGGACACTTTTGACGCGTTCACGATGCAGGACTCGGTGTTCGCGGACAACCAGTGGTCGCTCTACCTCGCAGAGACGCAGCACACTCCCTTAAAACACCCCCTCCTTCCCCCCCATTCCCGTCCCTTCCCTTCCTCCCTCCCACCCCACCACCAGCACGCTCATGGACACTTTTGACGCGTTCACGATGCAGGACTCGGTGTTTGCGGACAACCAGTGGTCGCTCTATCTCGCAGAGACGCAGCACACTCCCTTAAAACACCCCCTCCTTCCCCCCCATTCCCGTCCCTTCCCTTCCTCCCTCCCACCCCACCACCAGCACGCTCGTGGACACTTTTGACGCGTTCACGATGCAGGACTCGGTGTTCGCGGACAACCAGTGGTCGCTCTACCTCGCAGAGACGCAGCACACTCCCTTAAAACACCCCCTCCTTCCCCCCCATTCCCGTCCCTTCCCTTCCTCCCTCCCACCCCACCACCAGCACGCTCATGGACACTTTTGACGCGTTCACGATGCAGGACTCGGTGTTCGCGGACAACCAGTGGTCGCTCTACCTCGCAGAGACGCAGCACACTCCCTTAAAACACCCCCTCCTTCCCCCCCATTCCCGTCCCTTCCCTTCCTCCCTCCCACCCCACCACCAGCACGCTCGTGGACACTTTTGACGCGTTCACGATGCAGGACTCGGTGTTTGCGGACAACCAGTGGTCGCTCTACCTCGCAGAGACGCAGCACACTTCCTTAAAACACCCCCTCCTTCCCCCCCATTCCCGTCCCTTCCCTTCCTCCCTCCCACCCCACCACCAGCACGCTCATGGACACTTTTGACGCGTTCACGATGCAGGACTCGGTGTTCGCGGACAACCAGTGGTCGCTCTACCTCGCAGAGACGCAGCACACTCCCTTAAAACACCCCCTCCTTCCCCCCCATTCCCGTCCCTTCCCTTCCTCCCTCCCACCCCACCACCAGCACGCTCATGGACACTTTTGACGCGTTCACGATGCAGGACTCGGTGTTCGCGGACAACCAGTGGTCGCTCTACCTCGCAGAGACGCAGCACACTCCCTTAAAACACCCCCTCCTTCCCCCCCATTCCCGTCCCTTCCCTTCCTCCCTCCCACCCCACCACCAGCACGCTCATGGACACTTTTGACGCGTTCACGATGCAGGACTCGGTGTTCGCGGACAACCAGTGGTCGCTCTACCTCGCAGAGACGCAGCACACTCCCTTAAAACACCCCCTCCTTCCCCCCCATTCCCGTCCCTTCCCTTCCT